TCCTTTCTTCTGAGTAATGCCCGCTCTGGTGGAGAGCAGACCCAGTGGAGTGGGATTGCTGGACAAGTCACCACAAAGTAATGCCCTCAAAGATTCTCTGTGGAGAGTGCTGCTCACTCATAAACTTGAGAGGATTTTCTTCTGTCTAGTGCTGGCACTAAAGAGCCAGGCATCTTTCTCCAACCCTTCTCCCTCTGGTTTTGCTCAAAATGAACAACTATGGCTTCTCCATCACCTGCACTGCTGCCATAGTATTTTTAATTTGTCTCTAGAGGTAAATCCCATGCAGAGAAGTTGTACATCTTCAAGTCCAGTCCAAAATGTGGAATGGCAGTGGTATTTCTTGAAACACCCTATGATGTGTCCATGACACCCACATCAGTTTTCCTATTTTGCCCAGGGAGACAGACCCACTGTGAGCAGGCTTGATGCCTGGTCCCTAAGCCAATCTCCCCTCCCCTGCCTATTTGACCCTGCTCAGCAGAGCCTGGGCGACTCCAAACCAACCACCTCTTGGTGCCACTGGGACTCATCACCTCCTCTGTGTTTTGGATGAACAGCCCTACGCGTGTGTAGCTCATGAGTGATGGGTGTGGTCGTGCGGGTGCAGCCACAGTGCCTCCGCCTCGGGCCCCTTGCTGCCATCCATCCATGCCACGACCACAGGCTGGGAGCAGCACCAGTTCGGAATCACTGTTCTTAATTACAGCTATTTTAGTGGAGACTACATCTTCCATGGGAGAAATTATCAGGATTTGAGAAATGCCAGACAGAATCAACTGGAAAAGCAGTTTTTCTCTTTTTGTTGGCATTCTAACACCATGATGTTAATGTTTAAGAAATTTTTTTCCCCTCACTCACACAAAAAGACAGTTGATGCAAAAAAAGCACAGCTTTAGCCCAAAACGGTCCGTTCTGAATTTGCATAGGACTGTTATTTTTAAGAGAAGCTGGCTTACCTCCAAACTCATACGCCAGAGGCTGAATGAGCTAAATTTAAATACCAAAGTATTTCAAATGGATATTTTACATTAACAGCAATCTCATTTATTTTAGTTTAGTGTTTTCACATAGTTTTTCAAAGTTAAGCTAAGCCCACTGTATAAGAATAAGTGTTTCATTAATTTTTATAAGAGTTATAAGAAGCATATGTTTTAAAGCTTCCTTTTGTAACATTAGCAAAGTATACTGTAGACATATTTATTTACATAATGGCTGCATTAGAAAAAAATTTCATATGGAAAAATTGCAGCAATACTAAGTAATAGTTACCACAAAGTTAAAAAAAATAAATTAATGATATGGGGTGACAAGAAGCAGAAATAATTTAAAAATTAAATGACAGGATGTGATTTTTTTTAAGTACTCAAAGTGAGCACATTCCCACTTCTATCACAAAGCCAATGGAAGCACAGTGTTCTACAGGAAACTTTCATGAGGAATTGCAAAATAAAGTTCTGTGAAAGAATTTAAATAGTTCACCTAGAAAACTAGATCCTCGTCTTAAAAAGGTCAGAAATATTGGTTTTAATTGTATTAATCTAGTCTATATGCTGTTCTTTTGTTTTCAGTTTTGGTTCAGATCCCATTTTTTAAAATGTATGCACTGTGTATATAACATATGTAAATCAAATGCTTTACTATGATACGGCAATAAATGAAAAGCACACAAATGTAAATGTTTTTACAATAGCAAAACAAGAATTGACACAAAATAATCAAACTTCTTCTGATGAGAAAATTTGTGATATATCTCAGGTGGTGGCAGAAAAAATCTTTTTCCTGTAAGAAAAGAACCCTGCCAGCAGCTTATCAGCTCAAAGTTACCACAAAAATTATTGAAAAGGGTTACAGCCAATAAATTACATCAGCACATCATCTTACTAGAATCAAGTCAGAAGCTACTGTAACCTCCTTTTGTTTAAGGAAAGGTTTGAAAGGAGCCTCAAAATGTAATTTGTTTTTATAGGCTTTCAGGGCTTAATAACTGTAAGCCCGACCTTAACAGGAATTTGAATTACTGGCTAAAATAAATTATAGAAGATGCACTAAAGAGGTTTTATATATATAAAAGACATATGTTTTCTTCTCTGACTTGACTGAAGAGCTGTTGTTTTTGTAGGCATGTGTACTTACATTTTGTGGGTAGTTTCATAATCTATGGTTTTCAGCAAAAGGGCAGGTTTTTACATCAGGTATGTATTTTGAGGAAAGCACAAGTGTTTCTTTTTTTTTTTTTTTTTTTTTTTTTTTCTTTTTATTTTTTTTTTTTTTTTTTTTTTTTTTTTTTTTTTTCTGAATAGTGGAAGAATATCACCAAGATTTTGCTTTCAAAAAGCTTCTAGGATTGGAGATATTATGTCCAAAACCAATTGGTCCTACTGCAGAACCTGAACCTGTTGTAAGCCATTAAGCTGCAGCTAAACCCCAGATAATCTAGTGAATATATCAGGAAAGCAGCAAAATCAACATTGCCCCACCATTCCAGGGATTTGTTTCAATGTGAATAACAACTCTCTTGACTTCTTTCTGCAGAAAATTGTGTAATGTTCTGCTCAGTGAAGGCATGCATTCCTGGAAGAGCGGAGGTCCTGAGAATGTCAAAAGCTCTTGAAAACAGGTCCAGTTTCCACTTTGCCAGACGCTATGGCAAAGACTGCTCTGAGAGCTAATTTTGGATAATGAGCAATCAGCAGGGGCAGAACATCCTGTAAGTATCTACAGCTGAACACTCTTCAACAAGATTGGGATCACCCAGAGCTTTTCTCCTGGGTGTTAATATGGTGATTAAAGTTTACAAGAGGCCCATGGTTTTATTTTGGTCTTGTCACATCCACTGGCATCTAGGCAGGAAATCTGCTTTAATGCATCAATGTTTTTGGTCACCTATGTGCAGAATGCCTGACATGCTTGTGTAGAATAACTTCTATATAAATTTAGTAATGATTGCTGTGTTAAGCAAAGGTGTAGCAGGATACTCAAAAATATTATTTGGATAAATATACTTTTACTGGAACATCTGTTTTATTCTGCCAGGGTGTCTTGAAGTACAAATCTTGTGTTGTGTGTAAAATAGGCACACTCACAGATGTTTGTAATGCACAAATGTGTGCTCTGTCACTGTGACAAGTACCTCCTCTGAGCTGGCAATGTCTGCTGACAGCACCGTGTACTAGCAGATCCTGTCATCTATTCTTTTGTACATTTTTCTCAACAAAAGTCAGCATGAGACCTCCTACTTGCATATTTTGGTGTAAATTTCTTTGTCAGTGTGCAGAGACAAACTGACAACTTTTGGAAGGTGACCTACTTAATAAAATATGTAGGATTGTTTCTTCCACTTTCTGTTTCTGTTCTTTCTCACCTTTGTATTTAAAAGACTGTCTTGAGCAGATAGGATCCTAAGTGAGTCTTATCAAGGTCAGAGCTCGTTATTCTGCCACAGATTTGAATACAATACTTTGTAGATATCTGATTCACAAACATCTTTGGAAGCCATATTTACCACCAATAGCTTGCCTGTAATTGTGGTCAATTTTTTTCTTTCTTTGTTTCATTTCAATTTTTAGATGGATTCATCCAATTTAGTTAAATCAGAAGTTGATTTAATTTAATTTAATCTACATTTAAATGGGATCTGGGAACAATTTTCTCCTTTTCTTTTTGAGTAATGATTTTTGACTATTGAGTACAAAGCTGAGAACAACTTAAGTTTCATGAGGATGAATTTATATATTTTCATTTTTCTGTCTTAAAAACGCTTCAAACTTATTTTTGAAGAAAGTGGTAACTTTTTTTTTTCTTTTTCCTTTTCTTTTTCAGTAAGAAGAAAATGAAATCTCATGTCAATGGTATTTTTTATCTCAGAGTGGTTAGAATGGTCGGTCACTGTCACCAGAAGGGATGCAGGCATGCAGAGCAGTTGCCCCAGCTGCAGGGCTAGGATGTGCTTAGGGAAAGTTTTCTCTGGTTGGCTCCCTGTTCCACTGTGTACAAAGCACCTGGGTTTTTTGGGAACTGGCACTCACCTACATGTGGAATAGTTTTATTTGGTACCTCTCTCATGCACACTATAACTCTTTCATACAGAGTGGAAAGCAACTGTAGAAACTGCTGAAACACAATCCCCTACATCGACCCACAATGTGGCGGTTTGAGTTTAAATCCTTTAAATCGCTCAAGTGACTTGAGGAGTACCAACGAGCACTTTCTGTAAGACCCCTCTTGGACCTGAGGGGATAAATTCCTTGCCTAGATGTAGGTGGTGGGGGGATGGCCAGACCTGACTCATTTGTTCACCTGTAGGTGTGTATGTGCTCTTTGATATGTTCCCAGGGCACCACATCTGGGTTTAATTTGCTGGTTGCTTAGCCTGGCTCTCCTGTACTTCCGTATAATATCTGCCAGCGTTGTGCCAATGTCCCAGGTGTCATGGGACATGTCTGTTGGTTGCCTATACAGGGGAAATTGAGTTGGGCCACATCTGTCTCCTGAGTTTTGAAGACAACTGGCTTTAAATGTTGATGATTAGGGCTCGATTACATCTTTTTCTTTCTCATCCTACTTTACCTTGAGCAATGCAACAAAAAATAGCTGTCTAAGTTATTTTCACTAGCATGTATGCATGCATAATATAAGCAAAGGGATGACACTACATCTTTGTGGAAAGGTTTCTGTGGGCAGAATTGCAAATAAGTAAGAGAACAGCAAATTAGAAAACATTTGTTATGCCATTTGTCCCAATTTGATTTAGAGTTGTAAATGTGTAGGTTTTCTATATTAACTGCTGACTTTTTTTTGTGTAAACATAGATGGGTGTGAGGAAAAAACACAATCAAGATAAACATCTTGGTAAACAGTTTCAACAGATGTTATAGAAGAACTGCTAAGACAGGATTCACCCTCAGATCTGGGCTGAATCACCAGCATATGAATATGTTCACCTGGATGGGTGATACATTTGGATGTGCTGTTAAGATCAGAAAGAACAGAAACCAAAGGAGAAGAAAGTTATTTGTTTATCACAGAAAAAGTAGCAAACATTTATGCGATGTCAGGTCAAATGCTGAACTAGCTTGATGATATGGTTGTAAGACTTCAGAGCAGAGGTGGAGTTTCTCCAATTTTGTGCCTGCAGTGCCAACCCCCATCTTGTTTCTCAGGTGATCTCAGTTTTAAAGGTCATGTCCACTTTAAGAATATTGTAGAGTGAGATTTTTATCTGTATTTGTTCTTTTGCTTCTCTACACTGAAGATGAAACCATGATGAGAGTCTGATTTCCTGAATGGAGTTACTTTTGATAAAATTCTGGTATCCATAAGCAGGATCTTGTCCACTGTGCTCCGTGTGAAGGTCAATTCTCCCTGTGGCACCTCTCTCTACATTTTCCTCAGTGATGAGTCAGCTTGAGGGTTGATTTATAAATACCTGGCAGGAAGAAATGAAGAAGACAGGGACAGGCTCTTTCCAGTGGTACCCAGTGACTGGACCAGAGGCAATGGGCATCCATTGAACTACAGGAGGCTTTATCTGAACATCGGGAAACACTTTCTTACAGTGAGGGTGACCAAGCACTGGTATGAATTGACCAGGGAGGTGGTAGAGTCTCCATGCTTGGAGATATTCCAAACCCCACTGGATACAATCCTGGACAGCTTGCTTAAGGTGACCCTTCTTCAGCTGCAGGGACAGACTTGAGTGATTCTGATTATGAAAGAGCTCTATTATCACAGATTCTGGATATATTTGTCTCAAAAGTTCAGAAACATCCAGAAATCTCCAGCAATTCTTGAAAAAGAATGTTCATTGCACCTTCTAAATATGAGAGTGTTTTTGTAACATAAAAAGCTTTGCTGTGGAACAGTTATTTCCACTTATTCCCTTTACTATGAACACACTTGTGGTCTGCAACTCTGAACCATGAAGAATGGTCATATGTTTCTGGGTCCTTGTACAATAGCCACAAACACCAATAGTTATTAATGGTCTAGAATGGCATATAGTAAAAACATGAAAAGTGAACCCAGAGGGAAGTCAACTATTAACTTCAGAAGCAGAAAAGCTTTTGAAGTTGGAAATTTGCTAGCTGTGGAAGCTTCATCAACTCTTTATTATTTACAGTTTGCTCTCTAAATGTAATAATGCTGGTAAAAGGACAGAGCAGCTGGAAAGGGAGTGATTTTCTTGCCAGGTCCATGGACCTCTGATTACAAACACATGACTGCATGATATACGATAGTGACAGTGTTAGCAAGCATGTTATGCTGAAGGTATATCACCAGTTGTACAGTTCTGTGGGATGAAAACACTTGCAATTATCTAGCACTATAGCAAAATTTTAAAAGTCAGTCTTTGCAGCTTATTTTGTATAGAAGGAAATAGCACATCACATTCTTCCTTAGTTTCCTAAATTTTTCTAATACTGCAAATCAGTTGATGCATGGGAATCTGTTCATATATGCACACAGTGTGTGTGTAGACAAATACAGATATATATGCACACACCTGCATGTATCTCTATGGAACCAGTACATGCAGAAGGCTAGTCATGGTCTCTCAACAGTGTAGAGGACTTGGCCCAAACTGTCCTCCCTGTGGGAAAGAAATAGTTTAGAATATATCAAAGGAATAAAGGAAAAAAACAAGCTGCCTATTAAGTGAAATCCCAGCAACTATGGCAGGGTTCATGCACTTTATTGCTAGGTTAGCTGCATTGTTTCTCAGATTATTCATTAGCTAGCCATAATTTTTTAAATATATAAAATCAAACCCCATATGATTTAGATTACATTGCTTTACTGCATATCTTTCAAAAAGAAGCAAATATTAACAACAAAACAATAATTTCCTGTGTGACACAGTAAGAAATAATGTGTTAGTGGTTTGTGTTGCATCAAGGTGTGCAGTGAGGTATACAGCATCTGCTCTCCAGTTCTCACACTGCCATACCAGCAGAAACCACACAGAAGTGTGTGGTTATAAAGACTTCACTGCAATATTTTTGCAACTGCTCCGCTGGACAGAATGATATGTATTTTTTAGTAATTTTATACGTCTCAAAGAAAAACAGCAACTACAGATTTGCACACACTCCATTAATTATAAGTTTTGAATTTTGAAGGCAGATAGGTTACTGTTTGATTTTCACTCCAAATATTTTGCCATTCAGATACATTTCTCTTAAACATCATTATGTCATTTTCACTTTCATGTTACAGATTGATATTTGTAAGTTCAACTGTACTGGAGTTAGAGTTGGTGTTGAATTATAGCCTAAAACTAAATTGGAATCACCTATGCCCAAAGTTATCTTCAATGCATAACACAGGTAATAAAGCTATTTACTGAATTGCTGTTTATTTAAAAAGGTAATTTTAAGAGCAGCATTAAATTCCTTTTAGGTGCTGTTTGGTCAAAGAACAAATGGCATCAGGGAAATTGCCTCTTCAGAGCATAAATAAATGTAGCAAAATCACAGGCCAGTGGGAAAAAAAAAATCCATCAAGGGTCTGTGAAATCAGATATGGCAAATCCTACTTTTATCTCCCCCCACTGCTAGTCACTGCTCTCCATCTTTCTACCTTTCCTGCACATTCAGCAAGTGCCAGATCAACATTAGCTGAAGGATTTTTCCACTTACATCTATTCTAGCCGACAGGGATGACGACAGCCCGTTATCTGTTGCTGCAGCTCCAAGGAGCCTCAGTCAGGGATCCTGCGGCGCTGGGTTGATGCGAAATGTCGAGTCTCTTGGTCTGCCTCAGAGCAGCTGCAGCCTAAATACATGTCACGTATCTCACTCCCCAGGCAGCTGCAGCAAATGGATCACACCTGTGCTCACCCACCATCGGCACCAGTAATGCCCTCGGCAGTGGGGTGCAACAGGGTGTGTCACCCTGATTCTTAAGACTTCCTAAAGCCTTCTGAGTTTACATTCCTTTGGAGAACTTTCCCACACAATTTCTGTAAACAACATATTGTTTACATTCTTTTATGGGGGTGGAGAACACTTGATGTACTGGTGGTTTGTCCAATGTCTTTGGAGAGGTGGCCCATTCACTCTCCAATCTAATGTCACCCTTGGGAAGGTATAAAAGACAGAGTCAGATAATAAACGTCCCTTTTTACCTTGCAAGCAGCAGGTGGTCCGTGTTGTGCTTTCACGTGTCCCACAGCGACAAGGGTGCAATGGGACACCTGCCCCAACAGACACTGATTTCTCAGTCCTAAAGCAGCACTGGTGGTACTCTGCTGCTGGTGCTACCTTTTAGCTATTATTTGAGTTGAACTACCAAATAAATTAGTAGGCTGACTTTAGCATCTGATGTACTTGAGAAGAACCAAGGTAAAATTACCCATCCTATCTGTTATATGTAATCCTAGATGCATGTTACTAATGAATACCTGTATTTCCTTACTGGTATCCATATTGGTATTTCAAGAAAAATAACAATCACCACAAGCTCTGCTCTTTGTTTTAGGTTTTTGTGAGTTCTAGTAGTGCTTTCTCAGTTGTTCTCATTTTTGAGTCTGTGGTTTATATTGCCACATCCTCAAAAAATGTATACAATAAGCAAAACACCCTTTCCTTGGAAGCCATTTATTTTCCTTCCATAAGTAAGCATCCCCATATTTACTTATATTTAATGTAAATAGAGTAGGTTGGGAGATAGACGTGAGGGAGAATGTTGTGTTTTAAAGCCATTGGAGACAGAAAAGTTATGCTCCCTCTCTTTAGTAATAACAAAACAGTGCTTATAACTCTTATCGAGCAGTCTGCGCAACGTCTACATCCTTTCACTAATTTCAACAAACTGTCCCAAGGAGTGGGAAGATTAGCTGTAGGGTTGTTTATTCTTGGTGGAGTTATGGACATGTTCTCCGTGAGTGAGAGAGAGAGGAGGAAAATTAAATCGTGTTTGTAGCTGTCTGATCTGTCCTGAGTTCTTTCAGTGGAAGGGAATAATGCCAAAGGATTTAGGATGCAAGCAGATGTGGTGCTCTTCCTGATGGCACATTCATATTTGGGGGCTTCACAGCCCTTCATTTCCTGCAGCCAGAAAAATGGCAGGATGAGGAATGTTATGGCAACTGAACAACCCCTTCTTTAAACATGCCACAAAAGCCCACAGTGTCCTGTATTAAGTGTGTGACAATTAGTGCTGGTAGTTAATGCATGGACATTAATTACATAATCTACATTAACAGAATCAATTTTATATTACTATCCTTTTCTTTTTTGCTTTTAGGCTCGAAAATTTACAATATCCTGTCATTCATAAATACTGATTTAGACTTCAGAGCCTAGATGTCCTTTGTGGGGTTTTCACCAAGGGAGGAATAAAGCATATTGTATGTAAGCATTAGGAGTTAGTAGCTGATCTCTGTATCTTTTGTTTGATGTCTGAACTGAGAAACCAGAACAGGAAAATTTTCAGGATTACCTTTAACTTAAATTAATGGGAGATAATGTTCTTTGTGGGTTCTAATTTTCTGTGTCTCTCTCTGCTTTTATATGTGTCTGGGCATATGCACACATGCACAGATATGGGTTCTCTGGGTGATCTTTGCACGATTTTGAGGGGCATTCTTTTATAATTGAGAGACTTTGAAACAAAATTGTATTTTGAATTGGAACAATTTAAAATAAAAACTTAAAATTACTTTTGTGAAATATATAATTCAGAGAATATTTCAGACCTTTGGACCCATTTTTTTCTGATCTTATTTGCTAAATTCCACTGGATTTTATAGATAATTTTGGTCAATGTATGGTTTCAAGTTGCAGTAATTCTGTTCATGTGAAAACTTTGCTAAGACCCACCATAGTCTTAAGGATTATAGGAATGATAGGGAATTAACAGCTGTCTTTTCCATGACAGATCCATAGACTAGGTAGTGAAGGTTAACTGAATTCAGCTTTCAGGTCATAGGGGAGATCACACAACAAAAAAGACATTGTAAACTATGTACTGAGGAGGCAATGTTGAGAGGCAATCTCAAATTAGAAGCTGCTAACAAAAAAATAAGAAAATGGCTCTTTTGCTTCTATACCTACTTGCATAGTTTTCCCCCTATGCACAGTTTAGTTTTCCAATTTTGCATTAGGTGTACTACTGAGTAAATAAAACTCAGTGCAAACATAGCTACAGCCCCACCAACTGAGTTATGCCTGATTTTTGCCAATGAACCTGACCCTATGGAAATTCCACCCATGCATGTGCACTTGTATAAGTGAGAGTAATTTTGGTATTCATGTCTGGAAGTTATAGCAGAAACCTTTGCATTTCTTAGTCTTTTCCCTCTCTGGATTTTGCCAGCAAACAGAAGTAGGCTAGAGGCCGCTGAGATAGGCTCCACATGTGATCCCATGGCTAGCAGCTCTCACCAGGAATAAAGGCCCAGGGCAGAGCTTCAGAAAGGTTAGGAGTTATTTTATTTTTTTTTCCTTGTATTGCTGAGGGAGTTTGTCTCAGCCGTGTTTATCTGGTGTGGAAGAGGAAGCTTGCAGGCAGCATGATGCATGGGCGGTGAGTGCCGGCATGAGGTCATGGCGAAAGGGAACAGAGCCCGGCTGTGTCGCATGAGCTGGGGAGGGAGCTGCTGTGGCGTGGGACGGCCACTTTATCAATTAGGTAATGTCTGGGGGAGATTGGGGGGGAATTTCATTACATTGTGTTCGGCCGTGCCGTTGATGTGTTACCAAACATCTGCAAGGGACCCTGCAGTTTCTTGGGCAGCATGGGCTCCAGCCGAATCTTGCTGAACTGAATCAGCCATGACTGAGAAGAGGGAAGGGGTGGGTAAGGGGAAGAGTGATAACTTACCTCCAAAACAAACTCCAGGAGGCTTTGCCCTTGATGGACTTCCCATTGAGGTCAGGCAGAGATGCTGATCTGTGCACTATTTGATGGAGATGGTGGGATGAAGTGTTCATGTGTGCTCAGCTATCCCAGCCTGTTGCACACAGCATTGTTGAGCAGGTATCTTTGGAAAGCCTTTGTAAAGCCTTGGAGATCTTTTCCCCCACTTTTACCCTTTGAGAAAGACCAAAACGCCAATAGATGTGTGAGAAATAACACAGAAACAGGAGTACCAACCTTCCCTATTAAAATGAAAAGCTAGGGATTTGAAAGCAAACTTACTGCTAAGGGCCAGCTCATTCTGATATCTCAGAGCCACCATAAATAAATGACTTGTTCTTCCAGTACTCCCATCAGGAAGGCCTGTAAGCAGTCCTCCACTCACAAGACGTGCATTTCTCGGGATGGTGCAGTCACCATGAGCCGCCCCACTGACAGAAAGTGTCAGGTGTCAACTCACTGAAGAATGTGTCCTGTAGATATTTCTAGCTTTGAAATCACAGCTGATTTTTCTAATCCAGCCTCAGGGGAAGCAGCAGAGGAGCAGAGCCTACCCGCGGATTCCCAATCCTGGTGAGTACTGTTAAACAATGTTAAATAATGTTTCACAAACACATGCAAAGCAATGTGCAGCCGCCCAAGAAGCTAGAAAATTGCTTAAGTTACATATTTTGTTTCTGCCAGCACGAGGACACGTTTTCCCTCCTCCTGAGTGCCAGTGGGTGCCCAGGCAGTGTCTGGGGGCTATAAAGGGGCTGGTTCTGCGCCTGCTGAAATTCAGCATAAATCAGGATTAGTGCTGGGGAGCTGCGCCAGCAGGGAGCTGACACGAGAGGGAAATCAGGCCCCATGGAACAGGCTCCCCAAGTGACATGTTTATTCCTGCCAAGTTCCCATCTTTTATCCCCTAAACAGAGCAGCCTCGTAAGCCCCTCTAAGTCTCTGGTATGCTAAACTGATATGGGAGCCCTGCTCTCACTCTGCTGAAAGCCAATGTGTTGGAAAGGGACAAGGACTACATGTTTTGGCATTGCCAGCCGAGGCTTTCCCTGCCCATTCAAGCACCCAGAGGTGCCCTGCCATGGGGTCAGCTTTTTTTCAGACCCCAGATGCTATCTGCAACCTGCTGATGGAGATGGAAGGAAGGAGGGAAGGGCAATAGAAAACTGCTGATCAGGAGAAATGTGGCCTTCCTCGTCCTCCCTCCTCCCCTTCTCGCCTGGGAGCAATTGATTTAGGAGCTTTTCTTAAGTAAAAATTTCATCACGAAAGAGCTTTCTTCAGAGAGCAGCTGAGAAATTGTCTCTCCCCCCTCTCTCTTACTTATGTACATATATGTGTATGTTTCTGTTTAGGAAGAAGCACCTATCCTGACCTAGGTGGCAGGAACTCTGACTAAGGGGTTTATTTGCTATCCTTCCCTGGAAAACAATACGCAATTTTCAGGCTTAGTGTCATGGAAAATTACTATAGCACCACTGCCAATATCTGAAAATTTCTCGTGATGGATTATAAGGAATAATAACCTTGACCTTTCCTTTGAGCTTGGAAGGAGTGCTTTAGAGACAGCAAGTAGGATTCCTAATGTTTTCAGCATTAGAATTTAAATAAAATCAAGTAAATCCACAGGATAACGGCTATCCTTAAAATCCATGGTATTACTGAGATAAGTTTTGCATTGCTTCTGAATCCATGCTCATCTTTCTAGACTTCAAACACAGGATATAAGATCTGTGTCCTGATTCTTGCTCTTGTGAGTGGACACCTGGGCAGGGCCATTCTGAAGAGCACAGTTGTTCCACCAAGATACTGAGGGACTCTGCATCCTCTCCCATGGAGTGTTTTGTGTGGTTTCAAAGGCCTCAATGCTCTGTGTTGCACCATGATAATTAAAATATATTTCTAAAAATTCCTTAGGAAGAAAGTGATTCCTGTTTGAAAACAATCAGGTCAAAATCAAACTGATAAGTGAGTCCAGGTCTACAGAATGTGAAGACATTTGAACTTTCTTCAGTATTTAGGGAGGTCTAGCCACACATACAGAACTAC